AAAAAGAAAAGAAAAAAAAAGCAGCTGCTGTCATGCTACTGGGCCGTGGTCCAGACTTAGAGCCTCATGCCAGGATATCAAGTGCCTGTGTAACCAGAGCTGCCCATCACGAGCTGAGTATTGGCAGACCCACTGAGCCCTGTGGCCTGGCAGACACAGCAGTGATCCAATGGAGATGGCACCTTCCAGACCAGGCCCAACTGGGGCCCAAGGCTACATGGGTCAGGTACATGGACAGGTAGTCAAGACCCCACGTGTCACCTGCCTCCATCACACTCTGTACTCTTCCTCAGCTCACACCTGTGGGCTCATGGGCGGAGGTTCCCTGTGACTAACCCATGCAGGGGAAGTGCTCAGACCGGCTCATAGATGGGTCACCGCATTATGTTGGTACTAATAAAAATGGATTGCTGCCTCACTATGGTCCCATTCAGGTGGCCCTCAGGGACGGTGGTGAGGGAAATCCCCCCAGTGTGCAATACACTTGGCCGTCCACTTGGTAGAGAGCTATGGCCTGAGTTAAAGGTGTCCATGGAAAACAACTTAACTGATTGGTCAGGGACCCAGGGGGAGTAAGATTGGGTCGGTAGAAAGGGTTCTGCACCCAATTCCGAGGGGTGGGGGTGGGGTTTTCCCCAGCACCAAGCAATTCTTGCACACCAGCTGGTGTCCTATAATTCAACTCAATTCCGACACTGTCTCCCTGGAGATAGCATCAGACCCCACAGGTTAAGGGCTCAATCCCACGAGACTATGAGACTGCCCTCCCCCACCCCCCACTTCAGATGCCAACTGCAAGCCCAGGTTGTCAACTGTGCTTCTGACTGACCAGCTATAGATGGGAGCTTCCCACGACCCCCTCTGAGGGTTCAATTAATTTGGTTGAGCAGCTCACAGGACTCAGAGAAACACTTTACTTACTAGATCACTGTCTTATCATAAAAGGATGTAACTGAGGAAGAGCCAGATGGAAGAGATGCACAGGGCGAGGAGTGAGGAAAGGGCCTGGAGCTTCCACGCCCTCACCAGGGGCCACTCTCCCAGCGCTTCCATGTGTTCACCAACCCAGAAGCTCTCCGAACCCAGTCCTGGTGGGTTTTCATGGAGGCTTCATCACACAGGCACGATTGATGAAATCACTGGCCATTGGCCATTGATTCAACCTGCAGCCCCTCTCCCCTCCCCAGAGGCGGATGGGGGGAGAAAGTGAAAATCCCAACCCTCTAATCACCTGGTTGGTTCCCCTGGCAACCGGCCCCCATCCTCAGGTGGGGTCCCAAAGTCACCTCATTCACTTAATAAAGACACTTTTATAGCTCTCATCACTTAGGAAATTCCAAGAGCTTTAGGAGCTCTGTGCCAGAAACAGGGACAAATACCAAGTATATATATTTCTTATCATAAATCACAGTATCACAGTCAAAGACTGGAAGATTTGGAGAGGAGCATGGGAGCTAGCTAGCACACCGAAAGGGGTGCGTGGGAAGAGGGTGTGGGTCCTGTGTCTCTGCCTTGCGGAGGTCAGCTGGCCTTTCTCCACGGTGCCCTGGACCCGTGAAGGCAGTGGCTGTAGTGGAAAGGCTGGAGGTTCTGCAAAGGCCCAAGAGCTAGGGTTTCCTCTCACCGAGGAGGCTGATCCTGATTCTGCCACCACTGAGTGCCCAACCCGCCCGAGCAGTGACCTCAGCCCTCAATGTGATGCCATTTCTCCAGGGGACCATCCAGCTGTTTGGAGGCAGGGTGATTACACTGGGCTCCTTCCACCTTGGAAGGGGTGATAATTGGTTGTACTCCAGATGTGGATCGGCCTTCCTGTGCATAGCGTGTCTGCCAGCAATCTGAGGGCTTACATAGTATGCCACGTAGCAGTGATTCAGAGTAAGGGACTCTTCTTGCAAGAAAGGAGGTGTGACAATAGGCACACGACCATGGGAGTCAGTGGTCTTGCTCTGCAAAGATGCCAGCTCGGGGAATGCACCCTGTGGGGCTGCGGAGCGTTACTTTATAATGTGACGAATGCACTGAGTTAACAGTTAATACATGGTGCTGTGGCGCTGTGTCCCCAGTAGATAGAATCCATAGTGCTGTGAACCAAGGAATGAGAGTAGCGTTGGCTGCTCTCCCATTGATTCCCAGTGACCCATCTGGGGAATCTGTGCTCCCCATTTCTGAAATCTTAGGCCCTCCTGAACCAGCGGGGTCCTGGTTTCTGGGGTGGCGGGTACTGCTTTCATCAGGGCTCATGGTAAGGGCTCTGCAGAACTTGAAATGAAACCTACCATCCGGTCAATGTGAGCTCCTCGTACCCAGGGACCATCCACTCAAGAAAAGACTGCTGTATTGGCAGGGCAGCTGATCCTGAGTACATCACGAGCTAGAGTTGCTGCTCTCCAAGGACAGCAAGAAGTATGTCCGTGACACACGGATTCGCTAGTGTGTCTCTCGGTGTTTGTAAACAGGCGACTGCACGCTGGTGGCCTGACAAGGGGAAAGCAATGAAACGCGCTGACCTGTGGTGGATAAAGATGTGGTTCAGTCCTCCATGAAAATCACCTCGACCCGTGGAGAGGCCTTCTGAGGGCGAGGGAAATCTAGAATGGGTGATGGAGGAAGGTACGGTCAATGGCAAAATGTCCACAAAGCCCTCCCATGTGGTCTACACAGACACGCTCCTATCCAGTGTGACTTTGTCGCTCCTCCCACCAAGAGGCAGAGTCCATTTCTGCAGGCTCGGAATCTGGACTTGCTGATGCGTAGTGGGTAGAATTACGTCTTCCAAAAGTTCAAGTTCCAGTCCCTGGTACCTGTGAATGTGACCTTATTTGGAATTACAGTTTTTGCAGATGTAACCAATTTAAGAGGAGCTCATGCTGGATTTGGGTGGGCCTTAAGTCCAATGACTGGTGTCTTCTCTTCTTATTTTTATTTTTTGCCACGCAGCATGGCTGCCCACAGCAGTGAAAGCACGGAGTCCTAACCACTGGACCGCCAGGGAACTCCCTGGTGTCCTTGTAAAGAAGGAGAGTTGGACCCAGACACAGAGTCGACAATGGGGAAGGTCACGTGAAGATGAAGGGAAACATTGGAGCGATGCAGCTACAAGTCAAGGAACACAAAAGATGGCTAAGAGCCACCAAGCAGCTCAGCACAGGCAAAGGACCCTCCTCCCCTAGAGCCTTCAGAGGGAGCATGGCCCTGCCAGCATCTTAATTTTGGACTTGGATCCTCCAGAACTATGAAGAGAATACGTCTCTGGGTTTTTTTTTTTTTTTTTTTTTTTGGGTACGCGGGCCCCTCCCTGTTGTGGCCTCTACCGTTGCAGAGAACAGGCTCCGGACGCGCAGGCTCAGTGGCCATGGCTCACAGGCCCAGATGCTCCATGGCATGTGGGATCCTCCTGGACCGGCTCCCGGACAGGGCCACCACCCCGCGGCCCCTGCATCGGCAGGCGGACTCTCAACCGCTGCGCCACCAGGGAAGCCCCCTCTCTGTTGTTTTAAGCCACCGGGCTCGTGGTCTTTTGTGGTGTGGCAGTCTCCTCTTTGGGTCCGGGGCAGACAATTCTACCCAGCCAGCCCCTAGCAGAGTCAAGTCCTAGCAGCTTCAAGTGCCAACCAACTTGATAATGTCCCCTTAGAATGGCTCTCATTCCCCTGAGACCACTTTCTGACATATGCAACCTGCACACCAGCCCTTGTCTTGTCTCAAGGTCTGCTTTTTGGAACACCCACATTCCTTTTCCAGACTCCAGGCAGGCCCACCGTTCCTGATTCCTGTTCTCTAAACCAGGAGTCAGAGAGGAATGAAGGGCTTTGGAGGGGCCTTCGGCCCTGTGTGGTTAATGATTCTATCACTTGCCAAAGCCTGGAAATGAAGCATGCAACAATTTAATCAAGTGATCTGCAGCCAGAGGGCTTGGGCTCTGCAGCTCTTCCTGGCACCCCACGGGAACCCAGCCCTCAATCCGATGCTGCTTCCCAGGATGTCCCTCCCCAGGCTTGCCCAAGAAGAGAGCCAGGACAGGTTGTGGGAGAGGAGAGGGAGAGATTGAGGGAACGTTAAAGCGGTGTGTGCCTGAGCGCAGGCTGTGGCTGAGAGAGACACCGGTAGGCAGCGGCCCCAGGGGGCCCAGTCCTGCGCGCCAGGGCCCCAGGGCATCCCAAGGCCCTTAGTCGGCTCTCCCCAGGACCCACCCCACCTCATGCTTTTTTCTTTTTCTCCTTCTTATGAAAATTTTTTGTTTCTTTTTAAATTTCAACAAAGGTGTCCATTTCAGCGACAACTAGAGAATGACTACGTTGAAGGGGAGAAGCACTCATTAAAGGGCAACCTGAGGGAGGGCTAGAGGCATTGGGGATGCGGCGCGGAGGAACTAAGAAAGGGTCTGAAATCGCGCCCCCCTCCCGAGGCCCTGAGCTCTCTGGGGGATCCCGGGAGGCGCTCCTCCAGACAGGATCCCAGTCTCCCGGGCTGGCACAGGGCGGGCGGCACAACCTGGGCCGGGTGCTCGGAGACGGACGCCGGGGTTCGCGGGGAACCAGGGACCCCCTCCACCCCCGTCAAGGCCCCGCCCCCAGCTTCCCGCGCCAGCTCCCGCGGCCTCCAGCCGCTCGCTCTTCCACCCAGCCCAGCTCCACTCTCCCGCGCGCTTGCGCCCAGTCCCCGCGCCCCTCCCCCGCCGCCGCCGCCGCGGGCGCGCGCGCTGTGCCCGTCGTCCCGGGCGCGGGGAGCGCGGCCGGGCGAGGCGGGAGCGCGGGCGCGGGCCTGGGCCGCGGGCGGGGGCCGCAGCCGCGCCGCCGCCCCCCAGTCGGCTGGCCGGGCCGCGGCGCCCAGCGCGAGGGCCGGGCTCCCGGGGCTGGTGGCCATGGGCGGGAGCCGGAGGCGGCAGCGGCAGCGGCGGGCCCCGCGGGCGGGGAGGCGCGCGGCCTACGGCCCCTGACGGTCCCCAGTGGCCTGGCGCGCCCCCGCGCCTCCTGGGGGGCCGTAGCCAAGCAACGCCCGGCGCGCCAGCCCATCCCCCGCTGCCCTTTTTTTCCTGGCCGGGTGCAAGGGAGCATGCCCGCGCCTGGCCTCAGCCAGCTAAGAGTTAACCCGAGGGGCGTGGAGCTGCCCCCCCCTCGGGGGCGTGCCCCCCTCCCCCGCTAGGCGGCCCGCCCCCCGCGCTAGGGTATGGCCCCCGGCCCTGGGCCGGGACCCGAGGTCCTGCGCACGGGCCAGTGAAAGGCGTTTTCCCGTTCCCGCCCTCCTTCCCTCGCCGGCTAGCACCATGGGATGTAATATGTGCGTGGTCCAGAAACCGGAGGAGCAGTACAAAGTGATGCTTCAGGTAGGGCGGCTGGGCAGCTGGGGCGAGGGGCGTGGGCGACACCTGGGGAAGAACTGGCCCGGGGGGAGGGCCGGGTGGAGGGGCACGAGGGCTCGACGAGGAAGAGATAGGGAGTCATCCTCGCCCTCAGTTTCTGGGGCTGCTGGGTGTAGGTGCTCCGTGGGAACCAGGCAAAGATCGGGGGGTCCCTGCGCGGGGGTAGGGGTGCGGGGAGCATCCCTGGCTTGCCCGGAGTACATTGATTGGGACGCGAGCCCTGGGTCCAGATCGGCCCGGGTCGGGAAGTTGGGCTCAGCCCAGGTCCCGTGCGCATACATCCCGGCCCCGGGAGCCGGGAAACGCGTTGCTGCCGGCGCCGGCGCGGGATGGGGGTTGCATAGCAACGGCCTCCGTTCCCCGCACTCGCTAGCCCCGGTGGACCCAGGGCGGGGGAGGGAGCGGGGCGCCCGCGGCGCGGTGGGGCGGGGCAAATCCAGGTCCCCGTGGGCCAGGGGTAGTGGAGCGCGCGGGCCGCCCCGGAACCCCGCCGCCGCCTGGCCAGGGTCGGGCATCTACCCCCGCACGCACTCTCCACTCCGGCCCTGCCCAGACAAACGGTGGGCTCCCAACCCTTGGGAGCCTCGGGTGAGTGGCTGTCGCCGGGTCTGTCAGAAGGGCAGTCTTCGGGAGTCGGTGACCGGCCTGCCCTAGGCCCCGCAGGGCCTTCGGGTCTTGGGCGGTGGGGGGCGTGTACCGGGCAGTGACTGGCGGGGGG